TTATTAGCACTGTTCTTCCGACGTCTGATTTCTTTTTAAAAAATGCGTTTCTAAAGTGCATAAACTTTTGGGATTGACTGTATAGCCAATACATCCTTAATATGTTTCATCCGAGTAACATCTCGGGTAGTCTACACGGACAATGCATTTCGTCGAATGAATTCCGTAGCCCCGTGAATGGAAGACGTTTTGATTGCCGAGGAATGGACCGATGCCTGAGTGCTCGAGCTTTTTGGTATTATGACCGACGATGCTCTACCTTCTCTTATCTATAATATATCTCCTTTCAATATTATATCAGATATTTTTAAAATCAAAAGCTATCTCGAGCTACTTTAACAGATACGAATACATTGTGATTACAGCAAGTTCCCTTAGTGTACAAAATCACGATCACGTTAGTGATCGAGCATAATCACGGGTCGTGATCATGATTTTGTGATCACCGTGAAAAATCGCGTTTAGTGATTTTGAATGCAATCCCTAATGGACAGAGATTTGTTAGGAAAATCGCAGAATCATCGATGCATCAAATTGCACATCCTTTATCTGATAATGCTGATCACTATCTATTCAGCCGATCGTGTAAAGATTATGCAACGATCGAATGAGCGAAAACAAAATAGAGAACTAGGGAACGACCGATTAGATAAAAAAGTCGCCTCGAACTAAACGCGAATTACTCTAATTATCCGACAGTCTTCTTCTCTAATTGCCGTCGATCATGTTTAATTACCAAGACTTCGCCTGCTCGCCTAATCGACGTCGTCCCGATACACAGACGCGATGGCTGGCTGACTAGTCGCCAGGCGCTCTCGATATCACTCGGACAGACGAGTCTTGGTCTAAAACAAAATGTTCTGGAGTATGAAACGTCAAGTGGTTCGCGAATTAGCAATAAGAACTTCGTTATCCGGTCAGGTGATCGAAATGTATAAAGTGTAAATATTCTACTTCAGATCATGGCCCCTTACACGTTTTGTGGACGGTAAATCAATTAATCTGTGGGATATAAGGTAAAGGAGGTAGTACCTGGACACTTTTGAACATAAATTTTTTATAATGTTTTTTACTACGAAATTTAAGCATAGTACATGAAAACTTATCATCTTAGCAGATTCATTTCAACGAATGGCAATTCGATCTTATAATACTTTTTAATGAAATCAGTGAATGTTGTGTTATACTGAATGAGATTTCTGAGCTAGTGAATCACAGAAAAAGTGAACGCGTAATCCGGCGTATAATAGATCGTTTATACAGATACCGGCTTATTAATGCAACACCGGTGTCCACCGTTGAATTTCGTAACGAGACCGGACCGTGGCTCGGGTCACGGGTCCCCTGCAATTTATATCTCAATTAAAACTCCGACGGTTTCGCGTCGTTCATAAATCACTCGATGAATTTCGCGGCTTGTCCGAAGTTTCACATGCCTCGGCTCTTTCTAAACGTTAATCTTATACTCGAATCCACTCGCCTAATACCGGCTACCATTTACGTAACATTCCCTGCCGTTCATTTTTCTACCGTCGATCGTCGTTTAATCGTCCCCAAGATCGATCCCTCCCCGAAGAAACAAGTTGGACGTGCCGTCGCGGGACAGATTCCTCTCCATTACCGAAATTGCACTGATTTCCTCGTAGAACTTCACCAAATCTCGGCGTTCACCGATCGATCCACGAAAATCTCGTATCAATAATTAATTAAATGTTTCGGTCGATTCATTTTCAAAAATCTTATAAATTTCTGACGATTTACTATGTGTTATACGATATATAAAGATGAACATTAATTTTTATATTCCTGTAAGCTCTCGTATCAAAGGACGTTCCAATTGATACGATTGACGTCGATGGAAACTGTGTGCTCGCGTGATGAAAGCACGCGAGACACGTAATTTGTTATTGCGTCGGGAACAGATGCAGGCGAGTTTAATCAAGAGCAACGAGATCATGAAAGGTCGGTGAGGGTAGCGTCCAGCAGCGAAAGGGTTGTTTTACCTGAACGGGGATCTCCCCGTTAAAGCGCATATCAAGGCGAGCCCTGTTTACGGTTGCCAGGGAAACACCGGTGTACGCGTACGCAAGGGGATCCCGCATGTCCATCCGCGACGTGCTTTCACGAGGCCCGGGCCTTTGAACGAATTAAAGCATTTGGGAAATTGGATTCCTGCCCGAGGATAGGGAATGCACGTGTGGATTTGCCGATTCTATTCCGCCTCGGTGCTCTCAACGATATCTCTCCGACGTTCCGAAAACTTCTCATTCTCTAAGTGAATTCATTGCTTTTCCTCGAAACTTTTCAAAATAATTAGCTTAAGACCGACAATCGTTTATGCTACAAAAGACCATCATTAGTATCGATAAATCTAGAATAGGTGGGCTCGTAGAACGTTGAGAAGTCGTTCATAAATATCCAGTTCAAAGGCATCGTAAAATCGGATTCAACGAACTCCACGCAGCCCTTGGACCTTTCCCGATTCAGGTAAGAAAACGAGACCTACCCTTGGACGGTACGAAAACTAAAGGCCGCCCAAGAACTAAATTGTACCTATTATATACACCAAAAGAATGCTGATAACTCAGCTGAAGAAATCCCGTCTTACGCGAAATTAGAAAATACTGTTTAATATTTCTGATATTTCGTACGCAATAAAAAGACAGACTGACACTGGCAAGGAAAGGGAAAGGAACGCTAAACGATCTGCGTCAGATTGGCTCGTTTCAGAACAAACGTAGCACCTGCGGCGAGTGGGCCAAATTTCAAGGCGTCTATTTATGGTTGCCAAGGAAACATACACGCGAGTACACGATGTTACGAGGGGATCGCGGAAACCCCTTTCGCGCGTCCGGCAACCGCGATAACTGTCGCCGTATTTTCCGGACGGTACACGGGTAAAAGGGGATCGTAACGCGCACAGGAATTCGCGACACCGCGGATCGATCGTCAACATAGCGAATCGTACCATCGAACGTATTAAAATATTTTGACGAGTTTTGTAAAGAATCCTTGTACTATTTATATTTAACACTAGAAAGACTGAAAGTTAGTATATACTAATATATTGCCNTTTATGCATTATTATTTGTACATTTGCCCAAAAGCAGTAAAAATGAGTTCCTTGGGCAATCTAGTGTTAATGCCGAATTAAAATCCTCATCACAATGTTTTTATAACCTGTGGATTTTTATATATCTATAAAAGATATTACTCAGCAATGCATTCAGTATGGAAAAACATATTTAGACCCAGGCGCGTGATACGATTAATCCATAAAAGCAAATCTGATTATTTAATCAGAAAAATCTGTAATCTAGTTACAAGCAGTAATAAGAAATGATATAGAAAAAGTTTTCTGAATCAGTTCCGGTAAAACAGAGTAGATTAACTGTTAGTCACGGGAAAATGTGTTTTATACAGGTAAAAAGACTGTAAACGTCTACGAAGCGTGAAAACTGTTGGCCCCGGAGCCAATGTTCTTTCCCGTGCACCGTTAGATCCGCCCAATAACGTGAAACGGTTATGTTTCTGGCCGCGTGCAATTTCTCCTTCGTTAATCCCGGTTATACAATGTCGCACGCGCCTTTCTCCGACCGCTCCCATCCCGTGACACGTGATTTTACCTGCACACTACGATGTAACCGTCGACAAAGAAGGATCTATTCAAGTAACGTATGGAACGTTAATTATCCGCTAACAACTGTTCAACGTGCCTTCTATATTTAAACGTCACGAGATTAAGTCCGAGCTGCGTGTTTCTGATATTAAAGTTGCCACCTCCCATTCAGTTCGTATCGTCATCCCACGAAAAATACTTGGATAAACATAAAAAATTAATAGATAAATCAAGGATACGAAGTTTCAATATCTACATTTTTTTTTTTTAATATTTTTAAGGATTCTTATTGTATACATAATTACTGTTATACTATTCGAATTGTCGGGAGTAGAGAATAAGGGAGATTGTAGATAGACACTGCAGTCTTTTATGTATAAAAATCGGCGATTGCGAGATGTCTCGAGTACGTTGTCCTCTCTTTCCCGGTTTGTATGCAACGTGCGAATTCGAACCGTTCCACTTGGCATAAAATATCGGAATAGAAGCGTTTGTCAGTTGCACTCGCGATGCAATCACGCGTACCGACACGTACGATTTCCAGGCGACGACGCGACGCGAACCACGTGCATCCTTGAGCCGCTTCGAGGTTCGTGAACCTGCCGTTCGCGAGTTAATCGCGGATCGATGCGAGGCTTGAGATAGGATTTCCGTGCAGCGTTTCGTGACTGTCTTACCGTTTATACTCCGTTCGTCAAAATTTTACGCATGTCTGCGTCGAACGCGTAACAACTCGGCACAGGACTTGATAACTGAATGAATAGAATTATGCATAGGCCAACGCATAGAATTTTCTGGCGAATGAAACGTCGATAGACGATTACAACAGTTGGATAAAAATGTGTTGACAAGACTACAGGTTTGATCTCTGTTTATTAATCGGAGATTTGTAACAAGTCTGATGGTAAACACGATAAGAATCTTTAGATATCGTTTCGAGTTATTGTTTAATTAGTACGATCGATATCGAACTAGCCGTAATTGCATCGAGAAGCTTCGACGATCAAGATTATTCTAGATCTTCGATCACCCTGTCCTCATTGAGACCATTCAACGTTGTATTCGATAGTTTGCTGGCGAGACGATGTTTAACTGAAGAATCTAACATGGTGCATACTGATTGCCCTGTAATATGATCACTAAACAAGGAAGTCGATCAGCGGGAACATTTTTTTTTGCAGCCTTTCACCGGGTTGCATTAGCAGTGATACCGTCCAAGCAGCAACGTTCCAATCCAGAATAGAGTCCAAGGACCAGCACGGACCGACGTACGCTTGTGCAAGACGCAGCGCGCGTGTCTACCGTACTGGTCAATCTAATCCATCGCCTCTTCTCTAAGACGGACGACGAAGGTGCGAGGAGAGCAGACACTCGTGAAAGGAGAACAATCCGATGATCATTTTCCAATGGAACGAGACGCTGGTGCATCCTTATTTGTAGCTGACAGGACTCGTGGATGCAAAACGCGGGTGCGAATGAATTCCACGCTCGTGACGAGCGATCGTGAGAACGCGCGATTCTATTTCGTAAAACAGAATTTATTTTACTCGAACTAAACGTCTTCTGTACTGACTGCCTCCGATATATTTTATTCTAATGATTCTAGCAAAGGAAATCCGATGTCGATGTTCATAGACAAAATAGGCTGGAGTTTATTTATCTTGTTAGTCATTAGAAAACTTGAGCATCTGTTGCTAGAGTTTACGAATCAAGGATTGAATTAATTGATGTTAAATAAAAATGATCGAGCTGATTCATTGGAATTTTTTAAGATCGGGCTATGAAATGAGGGAGACGCGTCGGAAACGTTAGAGTGGCAAGGAAGAGCGCAATTTTGGGAAGGATTAGGCCAACTGGCCCGGAAACCGCAGCAGCTGCGGTACGCAATATGCGTCCACGGGTCCTCTGCGCCACGACGGATTCTTGTGAAACGATGGACAAAATCGGAGGACGAGTCGATTGAAGGTTTCTGAATGAACGATGCGTCACGCGCCTCTCAGGCGCCGCGTTAATGCCGCCTTCCGAGTAAATCAATTAAAGGATGAACTTCAACGAGACTGTGAGTCTCTTTGTTCTTCGGAGAAAGAGTAGATAGATTTATTCGATCAAACACCTCTATTGATGCGAGACAACGTGTTCATCAAATTTTTTACAATTATTAAACCTGGTGTAATTCGAGCGCAGAGGTACTTTTAACTGACGCATAATGATTTTATCAAGACGTAAGTATTGTGTACGAATTCATTAACACGTTGACTGCCGCGCGTATTTCCAATCAAATGTCCTTTAGGCCACGAGTGCTGCTGCACCAAGCGTACTCGCAATAACAATTTCCCGTTTCGTTTGTTTGCATGACATCATGTTTAGTCATTTGTTTCCATTATTAAATTCTTGAGGTCCTCACGTATTACCTCGCCACTCCACACGATCAGTTTGGAGAAATTCTGCTGTCACCCGAATATGGGTGACGCGGCAGTCAACGTGTTAAGGATGTATTGGCTATACAGTCAATCCCAAAAGTTTATGTTTATGTTTATGTTAAGTGTTATTTACTCTTGTAGTTTAACCATTTCAAATGTTTCCGTCAGTCTGTACAATGAAATCGATGATCCACAGATGATTTTGAACGATATTTTTTACTGACTCGCTCTGTATGTCGATAGTTCAATGCTCTACGTAAAACAAGAATTGATGTACTGAGAGTGAAAGAGTAGAAGCTGTATCACGTCGTGACGTTTTCAAGTGTCAACTAATCCTGGACACGAGCTCTAAACACGGGGACAAGCGAGAAACTAGAAAACGGCGCGACAGGCTCGTAAATCGAACGATTTAACTTCGGCCGAGCCTCGTCCCCCGGACTCTTCCTTCGAGCTTGTCCCGATGAACCAGTGAATCCGCGAAAAAGAGTAGGGAGAACCATCCCCCGTTAATGCCAAAGTAATGACTGGGGTGGCAACGTTCGAGGATACTCTCGTCGAGTCGCCATTGCCACTGCTTCTAGCCTGCACTCCACCCTTCGAGCCACCCCAATGGAGCATTTCGTGGGGTGGAACGCACACGCGTGTACGTCAACTCTGTGCCAATCATGGCCGCGAAAAATGAACCGAATATTCGTGAAGATGTCCCAAAAACTTTCCTTCATTTCCAGATCCAGTGTCAACCGTGTCAAATGTATTGATTCGAATCAAATTATTTAAGAGAACAGTTATGGACCGACGACTCGTTACATTCTAATATTTGGTTCGAAATATGGACTTGGTAACTGAAAATCGATGAAGAAATTCTATGGCAGAGTCTTTTCCGGAAGCTGGGTAGGTTCGTAAATCGATGGACACGCAATCACGTCTAACGGCTTGTAATAACCGAGGAATCGACGATAACGAAATCCATAAAACGGGTTACTACGTTCTAGAAAGTTCCACCTGGCTGTGTCAAGGGCCCGAAAAGGACCATGCCTATCTCAGCCGAAGTCCTAATCGTAAACAACGGTATGGCCGATCGGTCGCCATTAAGTCGGCGATTCGAAGGGAGCGAAAGGGCCGGGCCGCTCGTTTCGCCTCTCCATTTCCTGTTGCTGGAAAGTTTCGCCCTTGGGCGTCCCGAAAAGAAGGGCCGCGCAGGTGCCGCGGTGCGTGCGACAACGAATTACGATCACCCCTTTAATTCCTGTCGAGTGATTCACGAATAAATCGAATTGTCTTTTTTATATTCTGCCGGTGAGAACGTGCGATCTCGGGATATACTGTACGTGCAACTGTTCACGTGTGTAGGCGATTTCTTTGACGGTTTCTTATTAAAATTAATAGGAGATCTGATAATAACGATGGCAAACAAGGTGCCGTCGCACGGTGTTGGCAATGAAATACGTCGGTTAAACGAGACAGATCGAGGAATAGATTAGAGCAGACCGAAGGGGTAGATATCGAGATAATGGCAAACGACTTGGCAGCTTCGCGAAACGAACGGTGTCGGGTCACGAGCGATGATTGTTGAAAGAACTCGTGGCATACGCCGCCGCCGCCGCCGCCGCCGCCGCCGCCGCCGCCGCCGCTGCCGCTGCCGCAACAGCAGCAACAGCAGCGGCAGTATATCCAATAAAAATTTGTCGGCACGCGAAACCCCTGTAATTACGAGAACCGGATTTTCGACGATACAACGCTACGGCTGATCGTCACGGTAATATAGAAATTAATGGCGAGCTTCCTTGGAAAGCGGCGCCGCCGTTCAGGAAGAACAATGAGTCACCGCGAACTGGGTCGTACATACAGAAGACCATCTGCCCCGGAAATCGATTTTCATTGATAGAGAACCGTCGCGTTTCACCGATAACTCATCTAACGCAACGCTCGATTGAAGCTAATGAATTTAATGGAGGTAACTGCGACGCGTAACCCTCCATTATCCATTGTAATTTGGTGGTCGCCCTCTCTTCCTGCCGTGGCGAGCACTCTACGGAATTGAGGTTCGAAGGATCATAACGATTTGTCCGTTCGACGTTGAATGATTAACCCGATCGACTTTGTTTATTTAAATTTATTTCGCAAGATTTCCCGCGCGATTCCCCCTGGGCTTTCAGCGGATTCCACCAGCAACGCCGTGGCATCGATCTCGCGGAATGGTCGACGGCTTCTACCCGTCGTCTTTGACGAGCACCGACGCAGAAGGAATTTCTTTTCTCGAAGCTTCTGACGACGCGCTGACTCGTAACTCACGCGTTCTTCTATTGCATCCCCGCCTTATGCATATAACATTCGGAGAACACGCGAAAATGCTCCGATGACAGTAACGCGATACGAGGCCTCGCGTGAACCCCGGGCATTTCTCATCGCGGAGAAGTGAATATATCAGAGCGGCTCCTATAAGCGAGGCTCGTTTTTTACCGCGGCAAATCAACCGGGATATACTGAGTAACTGAGTCCTTTCTGGTCCAAATCGACTGTTCGAAAAGGTGAAATATGGAGAAGCCCAAGTGCTGAAAATCGAAGACCTATTCCCTTTGAACTTTCTTTCACAGTTCGGAAAATCGGTGCACGCCAGAGATTCTGGAAAAATAAAACAGGATCAAAAGATATGATCTTCTGCTAACTATATAAAAATGCTGTAAAATCCTCGCGACATTCGGACTTAAACGAGATCTGTACAAAGTTGTTGTTTTTCAATTCTGACAAATGCAATTCGTAAAAACTTTAATTGCAATAACATTCGAACTGGAGATAAAACATTCTCGTCCAAGCTGATTGGAACACGCGCGAGGGAACTGGATACAGAAGGGCACGATTCGCAGACGACGGAATGGCTTTTCAATCTCGGGCTGTTTTTCTCTTTTTGTACCAGGCGGATGAAAAATCGTGGACGGAACGATGATCGATGAGTTCGCCGATACACGGCCGAAGAGAGAACAGAGAAAAGGGACCCGATGTATTCTCGCGATGCGTTATCGGTTCGAAGCGCAGCGACGGATCTACATCAAGGTAATCACGGCAATACGTCATATGGAAAGAGCTTACACACGCGTGGCACGTAGCAGTACACGCGGGGGTGGACCTGGATATATAGATTCATCGGGCCTTCTATATTCACCCCTACGGTTTCCCATGGGTTGCCAACCAAAATCAAGACTGCCAAATTAGCGCTACGCGGATCCCGACATTTGTCAAAAACCAGTTTCGTTCTCATGAATTTATCAGAGTTCAGATGTTTGTGTAAAACATTTATGATACGAGTTATACAAATTATAGCAGTCTCTTGTTCTTCCAATCATCCAATCGTAAGTATTGCAATGCAACGCAACGTTCGAGAGTTTCTCGCCCCAGTTACTCTCGAAGATCACTTGAGGAATCTCATGAAACCGTTCGAAGGGTGAATTAACCCTTTGATTGAACGTTCCGCGTTTAAGTTGAATGTAAACTCGCGTCTGTCACGTAGAGACCGTAACTCTTACCGTAAACGCGATTCGATATCATAAGAGAAGTTAATAGTATACATCTGAAAGCTCATGCGCGCACCAACATGGGTAAGATTACACGTTACACGGGTATTTCTCGGCTCGATTGGACCGATTCGCTACACAATTTCCAAGCCTCGTAAAACTACTGGCTCGTATCTTGAAATTAATCTACCGATGCGATTCTTAATTTTTCTAAGGAAAACAGCCACAAGTTCTGCTCTTAAATGTTTTCCATTAACAACGTTCTTTAAAAATCGCCGGACCGTCAAGGTTATGGACAACCGCGAACTTGAGAGATCGAAATCTGCGACGAGTACTCGTGCTCCTAACACTTTTACGACGTGTAGTAAAAAAGGAAGAGTGGACACACGTGCTGCTGCTGTGAATTCGGCCGGCGCCTGTCCCGCAACTTTCCTACTCCTCTGCTTTGGGAACCAAAAACGAGAGAAAAAGACGAACGAGACTGGTTCTCCGTGCTTCGATTCCATGCCCGAAGAACGGCGAACTAGTTTCCGCTGCGCAGTTTGACCCACATACAAGCGCACGTGTGCGAATCCGCGCGGGAAGGTCGGACCAGGACGACGCGTCTTCCCTTTTTATTCCGGCACACAGGGACGACTGTAAATTGTGCACGCGCGTGTAGAGAGAGGCTTAATACGTAATAGGGGCCCTTAGACCTTGGGCCCCGCATAGCGCAGGCTAACAGGCTCTGCTGCCTTCCAGCTGCTCCGCAACCATAACACGCACTCTCCACCCTTCTCTCCCTTGCAAATTATCGCGACCTTGGATTCTACACGCTCCACCGGGAACTGCACGTGCGCTCCGCGTACTACGTCCAATCGGAATTTTAAACCCTGATTTACATTGTTATTGTTCAATTCTTATCAACAGACTGTAAGGTAAAGGAGGTAGTACCTGGACACTTTTGTAATATATGTATTAAAATAATCGCATTAAAAAAAAATTGCTGTCAATCGCAGTAGTAGGACACATTTAATCTGAACGAGTGGTGTAGTAGGACAAGTATGGAATCAGAACTGGGACAATATTATTATGACGCCTCTAAGCGAATTGAGAAACAGTTGGATTAAGAGAAAGGGTTGAAAAGTTATGAAAATACACTAAATCATTTATTGTGAAAAATATATCATACGTTTGAATGGGTTTTATAGCAGATCGGAATTTATCCAGGTATTGCAGCGCGATTAATTAGCGAGGGGCTAAACCTGGACAGCCACTGCCGTCTTGTCCCACTTGTACGTATTAAGTTTCAAAAGGGATTGTAAACTTGGACAGTTAATTATTATTAAATACATATCTATTATGTCCAAGTACTGGTTCCAAAATTCGTTTCGTCCCAGTACTACTTCCTTTACCTTATTTCTTGTACGAAAATTGATCGTGCAGATAGGATAAAGGCTGTACGACTTGATGTGGGAAGCTATTTTTTTTAATACATAAATACCGCGAGTGTTTCACGCTGCGAAAACGGAATCTGCTCGACGACGGGGATATGAGAGAATGCAGATTTAATATTGGAAATTTTTGCGTGAGCACGATTGGAATTAATTAAAAGGAGAGTACGAGGGGTTCTCGTTTCGACAAAGTGTTTTCGATGCGTCTTAAAGGTTTTTAGCCGGGCTAGATAGCCGTAGATATCGGAGGGTGCGGGAATTATAGCGAACGGAACGGTCCTCGAAAGGACCTCGGGGGCATTCGATCATTATTTTCACGGGATGCGGCTGCTCAATGGGCCGCAATCCCTCAGCCGCGATCGGCGATATTACGAATCCGCCCTTAATCGGGACACGGGTCCGAGTTACAATGATTCCACCGAACAAATCGCCGGACATCGAGGAGAGGAAAAAAAAAGCGAGTGAGTGAGCGAAGACCGCATCGTGAGCCCCCCCGCGAGCTTCGGATATATGACGGAGTCAAAACCACTGTGGCAACCGATCGACCATCGCGGATAACGCATTGTGAGGAAAAAAATGAGCCACGGGGAACAGATATCTGTTCACATTTCTTACAGAAAATCGCATAACCTGAGTGAAAATATGAAATGCGATTTAGTAGAAGGAATGTGACCAAATAGGAAAAACCTTTTCCAAGTTCCACGCATAATAAATTTGTAGATCGAACCGAGCATCAATCCTTAGTAAACGTCCCTCCAGAAAACAGTTACACGACTACAGAGTAAATGCCAAGTTTCTTGCGAACTGATTCGCGTCTCGCAGGCTGTCGCGGGTCATCCGCGAGGGTGACTACAATATTTGAAATTCAGATGCTCGGATTGTTTCGTTAAATCAAGAGGAACGCGGCCCCGGTGAGTTTGCGAGAGGGCGAGATATCACATACCACCTTCGTCCCCCTCGCGCCGAGTGTCACGTATGTTTATGGCTAAATCACTTTCGCCGTTTCACCCGTGGCACCTTTCATATTTTCTCCCTTCCGTGTCTCCCGAATATGGGATACATGCGTCACATATTCTAGATAGAAGAACAGAATTTCCTGATCAAATATTACATTCGTTTTGGCTGCCATGAACACTTACAAAATTCGAAAAATATATCAAGATCTTCTAATAGGCCGCAAATATATGAAATACAAAAGTGATATGATTGAAATAATAGACTAAAATATTACATGAGTTTGACTCAGAGTTTCATCTTAGTC